AAATATTAACAATTATAACAATTATGATGATTGTGGTAATGACAATTATGGTGGTTGTAATTATGATAATGATGATAATGATAATGATAATGAGCATGATAATGGTAGTGGTGGTGGTGGTGATCGTGATCGTGGCAGGATTAATTCTATCAAGACCATTGGTATTTCTAAGAATAAAAGTTCAATATGGATGCATTTTGATAAACAAATGGATGAAAAAGGCATAAAATGGGTCAAATGTAAATATTGCTTGTAAGTAATTAAAATAAATTGTATTACTTATTTTTTTTTCAAAAAAATTACTAATCATGTTAATTATATTAAATAAAGACATGGGAAATATAATATGAATAGTGGCTCTACTTCAAATTTAAGCCATCATCTTAAGAATCATAAAAATAAAATTGATGTTAATGTAAATAAACAGGCAATGATGTTGGGCAGTAATAGTGAACATATTATTTTTTTTTTTTTTTTAAACTAAGACTTCATTTCAAATTTATTAAACTTAGTAAAATATAATTAATACATGTTACATAGTCAACAACAATTTTTGAGGATACCATATTCCCTACTCATACTGTAAATCCTTAAATGGTCAATCATGACCCTGAATTCTCTATATATTTTGAAAAACATTATCATTAGATTTATTTAATAATGAACTAATTTATATATCCTACTATACCTGCGACATTGATAGAAAATATTGATAATAGGCCACTCAACATCCCCTTCTTAATAAACCAAACCACAATAAATAACTCTCATGGTTTTGGCAATTTAAAAGTTTCTTTGATATTTATTATCATGTTCGTCCTTGAAAATATTTGCTGATTCAAAAACACCTATTTTAAGATTTTTTCCAACGTTGTAAATTATACCATCAATTTTGAACTGTTTAAGACACCCCCTCGCAAAATCCATTGAATTTTTAGCAAGTCATGCTAACTTTAAACGGTCTTGTCCCTGTTTTCGTTTATGAGAATTTGGGTGACCAGTTTTCATATTCGGAACATCTACTCTTTCATTATTCACATAAACAATAAGCATGAAATCTGGTCTGCATGTACTACAAGAATCACCCTTTTGCATGGTGTTGGGTAACTCGCCATATCACCCCTAATTAAAAAATAGTTAATATTAATATTAATCTATCAATTCAAATGCCCTGTAATTATATTCTGCTTACCATATTCTCCATGTTTCATTTTTTATTGGCAGATCACCAAAAGCAATACTGAATATTGACACTAAAACTTCACAAACATACAAGCCCTCATTTATTATCATCTGATTTAAAATATAAGATCTATATTTTGGTGAAACCAAACTTGACATCTAATAATATATTAATCCCTTGGTTTTTAATATCCAACACATTCAGTTTAAAAATAGAGTTATTAAATTACATACAATGCCTCCAACATTTGCTTTGTCAACATTTCTAATTTCTCTGGGCACTCTATCCACTCACAAAACGGAGGATCATATATTGCTGGTAATGATTGTTCTGTTCAAGAACATCACAAAGAAATTTTGTTATATCAAATATAAGTTTTGATTCAGCATCTAATATACCAGATCATAAAGGATGGAGCATAATGGACACTGTAAAACAAGCGATTTCATTGGCCAAATTTTGTCGATCTTATTTCAAATCATCACACAAAACTAATTTTTGATTGGTTTAAATTTTTATCACGTTTCCAAAAAATAAAAAAAAATCCGAATAATTTGGATATTTTCAACCCACTTAGAATCTATTTTCATGATGACATTCATGATCTATACATATTTTTCTTCGTATGAAAAGGTACAAGGTACGATAGAATTATTATTTATGATAGTATTATTACCCATTAATTAATCACTTAATTGTATACTGAATAACTATTAATTTGGCAGAACCAACCATTGATTATGCAAGTTAGCATGGAAAAGAATATGTTCGCCTAAATGTTAAAATGATGTTTCAATTAATTGAGTTTTCTCTTTAATGTTTGTGATGCCTCTCACAGCCAGAAGTTCCCGGATATTAAGATCAAACTTCCAAAAAACAATTTAATCACTGTGCACAAATTGGTTGAAAACTCAAAGTCAGGGATGCAAATGACAATATACATGAAGCTATACATAAGAATTCTCAAAAAGTGTTTGTAAATGGCAAGGAAGCGAATTGTGATGGCTTTTCATTCCTTTCACCTTCAGAATATTGCACTTGCTTTCTTATTGCTTTCCAAATAAAGTACACTGAATTGGATTCAGAGCATTCTAAAAGAATTAATCAAGAGCTGATTGATACTAAATATAAGAAAGCATCAGAGGTGTTAAAACAAAAAACACCTATCAAGGAGTGGGTTTTTACTATTTTGTCTAATGCTAGTCGGGTTAATACCCTGAGAGTTGTGGATCTTCCTGATAGATGTGCTATAGTTGATCAAACAAATTTTCAGGCTTTCTACAGGTACACATTTGCAAATCGTGCACAATTTTCCGCAGGTATGTCATCAATTATGGGAGCTTTTTTTGAACTTTTATTCATGTATTATTATTATTTTATAGCAAATGCCAAAATTCACATTAATTCCGCAAGATCTTATGAATTGAAACTCATACGTGGTATTGGGCCCACAATAGCAGAAAAAATTGAGCCAGTAAGAAAAAGAAAGTTTTCTGATACAATGGATGATTTATTGGAGCGCGTTCCTAAATTTCCTCGATCAGAAAGATTTATAATGTTGTAGCGACATGACACTTCACCGACAATCAAGTAAGGCAAGGTAGTATTCGATCAACAGTTGGTTTAACTCGTCTGTAAAAAAAAAAAAAGCTTCTACATAGAATTATCCAGGTCTTCACACAGTCCTTGGCAAATTATTAACACAATGCTTGTCGGTAAAGTGTACTGTCAGTGGAATGGGTGTCGGTAAAGCGTCGTGGACCGATTGACATTTTATTTAATTTCATTTTGTTTATTGGATGTTTGATTATTATTGTTTTGGTTATTATTGTCATCGATACTAGTTTTGATGAGGAGGGAATATGATTCACCACATCGTTATCAGTCAAAGAAAGGTATCTCTCCACTTTTTCTTGTAAATTTGTGCAGTATTTTGATCCTTCATAGAAACTTTAAATGATTATGATGACTAGTTAAGAGTCGTCTCGGAATATAAAAAAATTTGTTGCAAAAATGTTGGATATATAACAATTCACAATTGAAAAATATGAATCACATTCGTAAGCATTTCATACAAATAGAATATTTTGGCGTCAATAACAACTCTGGTTATGGAACTTCGGTATACGAGCTCAGTACCCCATCAATAATTGAATAAAACCAATATTATTACTAAAGGTAAATATTGATCGAGTGATTATTTATTAATTGATAAATTTTAATTGTTTTTAATTATTTAATAGAAAACACAAGTAATAATATAGTTATTGATTATGAAAATAGTGATACAATTATAAAGGATTTTATTGTTAGTAAAATAATAAAAGAAAAAAGCCAATAAATTTAATATAATTTTTATATTTACTTTTTCCAAAACTTCTGCACTTAATTTCGCTAAAGTTGCAATGCTGTATATAGGATTATCAATTGTATTTAATTATATAAAACAATTAATATTTATTAGATCTATTTTTCTATTTTTAATAAGTTCAAGGCTTTAAGAAAAGTATTTGAAACGCAAATAAAATATCTAAATCAAATGCTGTTTTTAATGAGTAATGCAAATTTATATATGATATGTAATACATGTAACCAACCATCAATAATCAACCAACCAACCCAACAAGCTAACCAAATCCAATAATAATATAAATCTTAAACATATATAATAATTTATGTATATTAAGGATTTTTTTTGAATTGATCCAACAATTCTTTTAATTTGTCATCCGCAACTTTATTACATCTCTCTACCAATAATAGCATGGTTTTAATGAATTCAACCATATTTATATATGTTGGATCATCACCAAGAATATCATAAACTGTCCAACTTGCAACTGTTCCTGTAGCAAGCTTTTGATGTTGCAAAAACATTTCTTTATGATTACTATTGTAAATCTAAATAAAATTTTTTAAAAGAATAATTTGATTTAAATATCCTCGAAATATCATTTGCCCCGAACAAAATAAATTCAATATACCTCGATAGTATAATACAATGTTCCATAACCGGTTTTACCCTGAATTTTGTTAGAGTTTTTTTGTGGAATAAGAGGTAATATTTCGACACGATTAACTTCAGCTATGAAAGGAAAATGTAATTTGTATTTGTTGACGGTAATGTTTTTGACTTGTTTAACTTCCAAGAAGTCAGGCACATTTTCAAACGTAATTATACGAGTTGTTGGGCTAACCGACGCTTTTTTAATAAATGTATTGAATGGTTTGACATCATGTCGAAGTGCTTTTCTTGTAGAAATACTCATATTAAAATCAGATTTGCTAATAATAATGATAATAATAATAATAATAATAATGTTGATGATATTTATAATTAGATGTTTAAGTGTGTACAGGTCAAAAGGGTAAATCAGTATAGCTGTTTGTCACTTTTTGGTAGCTGAATGGCGCCATTTAGTGCAGCTTTATGGATTTAAACTGCATTTAAACTGAATTACCCTTTCCAACCAGTGAATATATATATATATATATATATATATATATATGAGACAATATGAATGTTCACTTACCGATTTAAAACAGACCATTCAACA